GGTGAATGTTGTATTATTGAGGTCCCCCCACCTTCTCACCTCTTTGAGGATACATTTTATACCTAAAGCACCGAAATAATATTGGGAAGTCACTCTAATTTATACATTCGACGAAAATGAATTCACGACGGAGAGCATCAAAAATGAGAATAATAACGAAATTCATGGGGCATAGCTTCGCGTCGCCTCGCGTAGTGTCACGTCACGGCGCATCACATCGGCTGGGGTGGCGCTGCAGGGGTCATAAGGGTACGAGCGCCCCTCCCCCTCCACCCCCTCTGGCTGCGCGGCGACGCCTCAAGCAGCGCGCCAACGCAAAATGCTGCCTCGGGAGGCCACAGGCGGACAGCGAGGCGGCAAAGGCGGACGACTCAGTTCCTGCGTTTTCTGTGGTTACAGATTGGAAGACCGCGGATCAAAAACCAATTATTGGCATACCCCGATGAACAAGGGGAGTTAAAGCATCTTCAGACAGCTTCAGTGACAGAGATCTATATGCCCTCCTTACGAATGCAAACTTAACAAAGTTTACTCCTTCCGAAACACCGGATGAACAGAACGCGATGCAAACGGACTATGCCCTATGAGATATTCAAAAGTGAAATGAGATTTCTTGGGAAAAGGGAATAACGAAAATGACAAGGAGATGCAGTCGGGAGATTCCCGAGGACAAACGAATCTATCAATCAAGTACTGAAAACTTTTCATTTCATGTATAGTCGTAAAGGTGGGAACAGATAATCACAACTATCAATAAAAATAATATGAATTCTCAAGCAAGTTTTTTGTAGGCTTAGACTCAGCTTCAGTTCGATCAGCAAGCGCGCGCGGCGGCGCGGCCGCAAGGCGCATCACACACTCGGAAACAGCCCGCGCTGGGCGGCGGCGCGTGTTTTATCGCCCGCCGCCGTGGCCACCTCCATCAATCGCCCCGCGCCACCGCCCTCGCTCCCGCCCCCACCGGCACCTTTGCAAGCCGGTTTCCGCGCATGTAACGGGCCGACACGTGACACTGTCACTTGTAACGCAGACGCGCTCGATGCTTATTTTGGGCCCGGCGGATGCGACGCTGTGGTTCCGTCGAAGCCCCCGCCACCAGCCGCCCCAGCCAGTCTTCCGCGGCGGGGACTTGCTTTGTACCTCGGGTAGGAAGGCAAGATAAGAACAACACGTGTCTCCCCTCTCTCCCATTGTCTCGTAAAAATAAGATGGACTAAATAAAAAGTTTCGCAAGTTTGTTTCTGGCATATGAGTGACGGGTTAGCAGTGACTACACGTAGATTTATGAGAAATGCATTCACTTCCAAGTAGCAAGTCACCATCTCTCAATGATATAGCGCCAAAGTTCTCATTACTTAAAAATTAAGTTATTTACGGACTATCATATTACACGGAGTTTTTTATCCTGTTGTGTCAATTAGCGGCCAACCAAAGACTGTGTTACCTAACAATATTTTCTGAAAACTGCTGCTCGGAGTTGGTGTTCAAAATTATTTTTAGCCATTTCACAGGACTAATTTATTATATACACTACTGTATCGCTGTCTGCAACAAACGCAATATTGCTTAATTTTCTGTACCCAATCAATTTGCTTCTTGACGTCTTGATCAGATCTAATCACTACATTCATAGACATTCGCACTCAAGTACCGACATTTTATTTATCTCTCATGGTGCAGAGAATTATTATTCAGTTTCTCTGGCACTCTTCATAACTCAATGAAACGAAGACTTTTTGAAAAAATGAAATGGTAAGCAAACGCTGATGGAGTCATGACGAGCGAATTAGCGCGTGCAAAACGATTAGCGGAAGGGGAGGCGTCCAGGAAGAGATGAGCGCATTGAACACCGGTGATCAGAGGCCGTGCGCCGCACAAGGAAAGCCTGCGCCACACGCCCTCATTTCAAGGGGACCCGCCACCGAATTAAGAGATCCATTGGCAAGCAGAGACCAGGAGCACTCCAATTCAAATAAATGGAAACGTAGGCGTCCGAAAGGCGACGCCTCTTAGACATAGATTCTAACATTTCCACGATCATATTACATACTTTGGCTTGAAAATAATGCATTTAGCCTTGAAGAAGGTCGCTGAATAACGAGTGAAACGTTAGTTTATGCGTCTAGAGTGCGAAGTCACCCATACAGCCAAGGACATATTCAGATACAGTTAATTTGACATTACACATAAATGTTTCGTTCTTACTTTCGTATACGTATGTATATAGTATGCATAGTCTCAAGAAAGTTATATAATGCTGCAGGAAATCGGTTTCGAGTTTTCAAAGGAAATTAATGATTTAGTTTCCCCGATACCGAACAAGTGTTTTGTTTCAAAGCACCCGTTCGTCTGTAAACAACACTAGCACCTAAACCACTTGTACGATTTTTTTCAAAATGAATATTCGCTGGTCGTTCTGGACCGCCTCAAAGCCCTCGGATTTTGAAAAGTATTCTTTAAATTTTGGATGATTTTTTGACCCTATGGGGCAAAATTCAACATTTTCTCAAAATTGACACTTTTTTCTTTAAATTTCGTGCAACAGATTGGAACTCTAAATTTTGGAAAATTGGGAAATTTTGAATTTTTTGTATCTTCCTACTACTAAATTGAATATAGAAAATTATTCTTCAAATCAAATTTGTTCTCTATTTTTAGAGAACTCTCTCTATAATTAGCGTCACGTACATTTTTGAGGGGAAATTGAAGGTATACTGAAATGTTGATTAAAATATGGGCAATACTAAAAAAATATTACAAGATTGTCTCAAGAAAGCTCCAAATAGTTTCTTCAAATTTTGATTGTACGGATAGTGGAAAATGTTCTGTATAAGATGACACAGTGGCCGTGTCGCTGTTTTCATTGTTTTTTCAAAAATCACACAAATTTACTTTTTTTAATATCTCCCGTCGTTAATATTTATATTATCGGCGATTTCTATGCTTTATTATATGTGAGAGTGCACGTGATTCCCCTTCTTCTTTTCCTCTGTTGCCTCTCCCCTTTTGTCATTATTTTCTCTTCTAAGCACCTGTCCCGCCGACAGAGCCTAGCAACTCGTCCCACGACCGACGCTGAGCAGACACTTCTTTACTCGCAAAACATTCGCAAATATTATTATTATAAAGATGACGTCAATGTCAACGGCAACAGTGACGGAGACGGTAATGGGGACAGAAATGGTAGCGGTAACGGCTTCAGCAACGATGACGACGGTGACTCGCACTGTGACGGTGACGGCGGCGGCAATGAAGGCAACGGCGACTGTGACCGCAACGGGGATGATGGTCGTGGCGGAGTAGCCTTCGGTTCGCGTTTCTGCTTTTGCCCACACGTAATGAACGCGCTAGGCGCAATCGGTCCTCTGCTCTGACTAGTGACTATTGTCTGTTTTTGCTTAGCACAAAAGTCATTACTTTCACCTTCGTCAGGATCGTGGTACATTCCAAAATGAATATCTCGATTTGTCCCGGGAAGGAAAATGGATTTTTGAAGGTGCAATGGAAGGCTCTGGCGGATGGCGTGAAGGCCTCAATAAGATGGTTGCTCGGGGTTGTAGGCCGTTTATACCCGAGCGTGGTGTACCACTCTACGCTTTTACTTGTTCTAAGAGAATGATTGATCTCCAGGTTGGGCACCTACGTTTTCATCTTTATCTGCACTCCCCCCTCCTGGCGCACAACTACAACCGACACACTGGCACCTGGATTGCAGTTACTGGTACCAGGGTCGGGAGCACTCTGCCAGCTCAGGGCTACTAGCTTTCCAGACTAGCACCGGAGTTTAATTAAGCGCCACTGACAATGTGGCGGGACAATTCCTTCCTCTTGGCTCAGAGTATCGATCCACTACCATGTCAAAACCAAGTGCTCAACAGGGGCCGCCCGGACTAAAGCCCGGGTGCCACGGTGCCCCCAACCTTTGTCTTCACTGCCTCCAATTTGAAGCTATTGACGTGAGTACCACCAGAACGTAGGAAACCTGACAGAGAGGTTCGTGGTCCCCGCCAGACTTCTATACGTAGGTTTGAGATCCGCCTCGGGTCTTGCGACAGGCTGCCCCCCCCCCCTTCCCTTTCGGGGTAGGATTAAGAACAACGCAATTCTGACTTCGGATTCAGCGCATCGACATACGTAGAAAAACGAGTATCAAGTCTTGGGGTCTGAAAACTTCTTTTTAATTTTGTGTACCTATGCTATTGCCGTACAAAGAACACAACCTGTGCCAAACAGTTTGGTAGGAACTCTCTTTGGTCTCCGCTGGGGATCCATTAAGATCCTACCAAGAGAGCGGAGGCGTCAGCAGGGATGGGGGTGAGAGGGACCGATGGAGGTGGTGGCATCGACTGTGAGATAGGAGCGAGGGCGATGACAGTAGCAATGGCTCTATCGTTGGCAGTGGGGATGGCAAGGGTAGAGGAAGGAACAAAGTGAGTTCGGGGAGACGAGGAGGGTAGCGGGAGAGACAATGTAGGCGGGAGATAGTGGGAAAGTGGCGATGAAAGAAGGGGCGGGGTGGAGACGGAAAAAGGGGAGCAAAGAGGGGGCGGTGACAGGGAGAGGATCCTCGCCTTGGCACATCTGAGCAGGTGTGTTGGCAAAGGCGGAAGAATGGCGGAGGTGGTGGAAGAACAGAGGTTGGATCGAGAATAATGGCCGATGGGGAGGAAAGCAGGGGCGGAGATAGAGGGTGGGAGCCGAGGAAATGGCGGAAGTTGCAGGAGGGCGAAGGACGAGGCGAGAACAGGGGCGTAGATGGGAGGAGGGGGAGCAAAGGAAATGATGGCAGCTGGCGCAGGGTAGAGGAACCCGGAGGAGCGGGCGACGGGACGGGACGGGACGGAAGTAGATGTGGGCGGAGGAAAGGGCGGGAGCGAGGGCGGAGGCGTGAGAGGGCGCCGCGCCATTGATGCAGCGTAAGATCGAAGGGGCGGCGCAAGATCGCGTTCAGGAGTGCAAAGGAGTGTTACCACCTGGCTGAGATATCGCGCCCGCTTTTATTAGCCCGTCACGCCGCGGCGCGAGGAGGAGGCGGCGGCGATGCGGCAGGCGAGGGGCAAAGTGGAAAACGGCGATGCTATGACGATTACAGTGGCGAGGCGAGGCGAGGCGAGGCGAGGCGAGGCGAGGCGAGGCGAGGCGAGGCGAGGCGAGGCGAGGCGTGGCGTGGCGTGGCGTGGCGTGGCGTGGCGTGGCGTGGCGCAGCTGCGTTCTGCCCTCGGTTTATCGGGGTTATAAAATGCGCGCGTCGCCGCCGCCGCCGCCGGCTGAGGCTTCCGCCTTCCTCCCACCCGCTGGATATGAACGTCGCGCCTCTTGCCTCTTGCTCGGACTCCGGAGCGCTTTTAGAAACGTTAGATAAATCAGCTGCACATCAATTTGTGTGTATTTTTTATATCAAAACTCTCCAAGATTTCTTTTGAAGCAATCTCAGCCATTGCCAAAGAAGATACACCTTCAATCGCAATAAAAATGATCCAGCAAACTCTAGAATTAAATAAAAAGTTCCTAAGCATTTATTACTTTTGCCCTAACAAAACACCTGTTAAAAACTACTTGGTTAGAGGAAACCCAGATTTTGCAACTGCATGATCATTCTCCATGATGTAACTGGAGTAATTGTACGTAGTTCTGTTAAAAACAGTTTTCTTTAGATTTTTAAAACATTTGATTGTAACCAACGTTGTTAGCTAGTTTGTAATTTCTTGTCAAAAAAAGTTAGTGTAACATGTAAAGCATTTCAACCGAATAATGGAAAGCAGAAATGCGCTGCTGATCATACTGGAAAATAAAATATACAAAAGAATTTGACATTGGAAAAGTAAAAAAGATCTGATCATAAATGCTATAAATCACATACCTCAGCGTTAAAAAATATTAAGCTACTTAACAAGTGCTTGAGTCGCTTCGCGCAAGTCTTACTATTTTTATTACGCAGTGTGCGAAAAGTATTTTTCATATATTTCGTACTGTTTGGCATTCATGAGATACAATGAAAAAAAAACTGTTTTGTACACGGTAAAAAAATGAGAAATAATGTTTTGCACACGGCGTGGTAAGAAGTAACATTTCAGAATGCTCTGGAAGTTTTATACGGGGGTTCTAGTGTCAGTTTCTTTGATGATTTCTTTCAGTATCAAATATGAATAAATTCTCATGTGATCAAATAAGATTACTATTGAAAGTGATTCGTTTTACGTGTCAATAAATCGTGCAAAAAATTTAAACTTCTTACCTAATGGAAAAATATATGCAGGATGACCAATGCAGAAATGGCGACAACCAATAGAACCATCAAGTGACACGCGTCGAAAAAGAAGTACAAGATGAACCAGTGTCCTGCAATTAAGAAAATACTGCTGAACAAAAGTTTAGAAAATGGTGTAACAAAAAAGCAATCACACTGCTCAGAAACAACAAATAAAATCCTGTCTTATAACACTGCAACACATTAAATATTTTAACAAGATTCGTCTTTATTCAAGAACGTGCTATACATATGTGTATATACTACAAGAACATCAAAACGGTGCAGTTTTGAACATGCGAATAGCAAATATGGTAGGAGGCATCTTCCTTCCTTCCCAGAATGAGAATAGGCCGTGTGTGCAGTAAGTTGATAGAAAATCAAATATTTGCATTTTGAGTCAAAATAAAAATTTGTTTCATTGTGTTTGTAATTTTCCGAGTTTCAGGGTATCTAAGGAAATCGTTGATACCCCTCACGTAGCCGGACGTTGCATAGCTTTCTTACTGTTTCTTTGAATATAGGTAATCAATGAGGAGAAGATATTACAGTAGAAGAAGATGTTTGAGTAATTTATTGAACATACTGAGTTTGTCAACTCCTTTTCTCTAGAGAAGGAGAAGGAGTAGTTTCTCTAGAAAAAGAAAAGGAAGAGGTGACACAGAACAAAAGCCTGGAGCAGAAGATGAGACGTGAGTGAGGAATGTGTGAGTGACGTGTGACGTGTGACGTGTGGAGGAACGTGAGTGAGGAACGGTGTATGGAAAGTAACTAAAGAATGACGGTAGCTATTCGAGAGGGGGAACTAGAGAAGAAAGACGTGAGTGTCAGGGGCGCACGTGAGGCTGAACGCAGGACGTAGGCGAAGGAAAGAGTGGCGGTGGAGATGAACGCGTGGACAAGGGAGAAGGCGGCGAACTCCAACTTCAGTACGCAGGCAAAGACGGAAAAAGAGAGGGGTGGGTAGACAGGTAAATGGAGGCAAGGTTGGAAGCGACAGCGACAGCGCTGTGAACGAGGGCAGAGGTGATAGTGATGGCGATGGCAAAGGCAATGGGCGAGGGCAAGAGTGAGAGCAAAGGCGAGGGCGACAGCGAGGGCTAGGGCGAAGGCGTAGGCGAGGGTGAGGACGGAGACGAAGGAGAGAGAGAGAGAGAGAGGGCGAGAGCGGTGGAGGGTTCGAGGTCGGGGGCGGGGACGAGGCTGAGGGCGACGGCGACGGCGTGGGCGAAAGCGAGGCTGAGGGCGAGGACGGGGGCGAAGGCGGAAATGGAAGTTAGAGTGAGGACGTGTGGGGGTGTGACATCGCGGCTGGAGGAGACAGCCACTCATTGAGTTGATGGCCCCACCTGCTCGCAGAGCGCATTGCGGTCGGCAACTGCCCAGCGACATGGGAAACGGGCGCCGCAAATTGCCTGGATGTTGAGAGGCAACTCACGCAGAGAGACTGGAGGTGACAGCGCGGTCGGTAGGGTTGATTTGGTGCGGGATCACGTCTCGCCGGCCGGAACGAATAGCTCTGGCGGTGGTCGAGCAGGACGGAGGCAAAGCCGCGGTGGAAACAGAAAATTAATAAGAAATGACACTGTTCCTTGGTTGGTTGATTATTTCATGCTTCCGCGAGTATGAAAGACTAAAGTTATTTATCTCATAAATGTAATGCATGTTTCTCTCGGGAGGTGACAGTGATCCTCCATCCGATGGTGAGATCTGCCTCCAACACATACGTCCCTTCGCGAGGTTGTCCCCAACCAGACATATCCCTCCAACAGCGCAACGCCCCAGCCGAATTTAAGCTCTAAGCACCTGACCTGTATTTATGGGCACTGCTTCTTGAAAATAATGTTAAAATGGCACTTTTAAAGTTTTACGCCAACTGCGTAAATGCAGCATACAGAAATACATTGATTGCAAATGTGTATTTTTCTAATTACCTATCGTGAATTTCAGAAATATGGAGGTATTTATTGTAGTGAAGTTCAATGTGTGCAAAATTTATTTAATAACTACAAATTAGGGACCGTCTTATTACCTAAAACGGTAGTATATTTAGCATTTTCGTACATGAAAGTTTACTTATTGGTTTTTGATTTTCTATGAATTGACATACGTAATGAAAATAAGTTTCCAAAATTTTGATTTAATGTTTAGTTTTAAAACTCACAAAACAGGATGTTGCGAAAATATTCAAATGTCAACAGACGAAAGCAACACATTTTTCCTTTTGGGGTTGTGGTTATTCATGACTCTAAACACCTGCAATTAAGGAGTATGCTTTGACATAAGTAAAAATTTATGAAGCCACAATCTTTAAGAGACTCGGTTCATTCATTCTAAGGTTGCGTTGGCAAATGTTAAAAGAGACACTGGCTGCATTCGTAATCAAAAAGGAATGAAAAAAGCGCCCAACAATTTAATCATACCATCATACAATGTGTACAGCAGGCGGGAAGGACATCGTACGCGAGAGCTAATTGCATGCAGCCCGCATAAAAAAAAACAACCGATCGCCGCGACGCTAAGCACGGGAAATTACTGGTTCCAGTTGCCGCCGCAACGCACTCAGCCATTGAGCATTGGCAGCACAGGTGCATGTGGATAGTCAAGCAGCGGAATATTCACGATGGAATCACAATATTCATACACTGACGCTTCAACTCTGAATGCGACGATGTTAAACAAGTTAATTTATAACGCCAGTTTCCCCTTCTACCTCTCTGGGAGATATGTGGTTGAAGGCTCTTTTTTACTTCTTTTCCAAAGCTTTTGACATAATTGATCATAACTACTTTCAAAATTAACTTCGTATGGAATTAGTGTTTTTGCTCTAGATTGGTTACTGTCCTACCTTAAACAACGACTTCAGAGAGTAGAAATTCCTTACTGGAATAATGGAACATTATGTACATACCTTTCCTATTCTACACCAATTGCACGTGTAGTCCGGCAGGAATCTATTTTAGACCCTATTCTTTTCCTGATATACGTAAACGACATGCCCTCGACAATTATAAACGGAAGAACAGTTCACTTCTCAAATTATACGAATGTTTTTTCAATAAATGAATCGTAAATATTACGATATTAGATGTTTCAAATTGTTTCCGCTATAACAAATTAATAGTACATTTAAAGAAAACGATTTCAATTCAGTTTTTCATTTACACAAACAGTTCTGTATTCCATTGAAAATGAACGGTGTACCATTGACTGATATTAAAGTAGCATACTTTCTAGGTCTTTCAATTTAGCCAAACCTCAAATTGGACATCCATTTAAATCAATTGAACACTAAATTAAGTTCTTATTTTTTCAAAGTCAGTCAGCCTCCACACTGCTCATTGTGTATATTTTGCGAAAGTTAATTGTCGCCTGAGATATGGCATAATAATCTGGGGAAATACATCTTATAGCTCCCAGACTTTTAGATTACAAAAATAGTAATCAAATTCCACCCACGTGATTATTGTAATCATGTTGATTACAATACCTGTTTATTAATCTAGGTATTTTACCATTACCTTGTCAATTGATATACGAATAAGTGGTTTTTGTTTTACTTAAGGGCGGGGATATATTTTCAACAATCGCCGATGTCTTTAACTGTAACACTCGACGTAATAGTCATATTCATCAGCTGGCAGTATCAGCATATGAGTGTGTGTGTGTGTGTGTGTGTGTGTACAGCTATGTATCCATATATTCCCACGAGCGCTGACCACTCCGGCGCAGACCAGCCCTGAAGAAGACCACGATAAGATGGTCCCAGCCACAGAAGCCTACGACGTCATTTACTATCAACAGCTCACTACAAAAAATTAACCTACAATATATGTACATTATTTTACAACAAAGTGCCAGATGACTTTAAAGGATTAAATTCAATACAAACGTTTAAGCTCTAAGTAAAATCTTTTCAGCTGCACAACTGTTTCTATACAATTAGAGACTGTATCGAGCATCTAAAAGGAAAGTAATTATTAATCTTAACAATGACTTGGCCTCTTGTTTTGTTTATAGACATATATGTAACTTCAAATTAACTTCACCCCATAGCACGTTTTAAACTGTTTTTTAAGTAAGTGAGTAAATAAATAAATAAATAAATAAATAAATAAATAAATAAATAAATAAATAAATAAATAAATAAATACTCTGCGGCAGACGGAGATGTCTTCTGCTTGTATGGGGGGAGCCAATTCGATTGACGTATCGATGGAAATGACTCGAGATCGGGAGTGTAATTATGATACTTTACCACATAATTGCTGTAGCGTGCACGAACATCCGCTATATCAACGTTTTTGCTTTGGAGCAGTTGGAGCTGAAATATTCATTTTAAATATATAGATTTCGACAGTTTCTTGATAACCTGATTTACTTTCTACAAAAACTCTTCTGGACGTATTGCAAGGCCGTATATGAAAGTCAATTATTTAAATTAATTATTCCATGACTTTCATTCCATTCAAATTTTCTTTATATTTTACAGTACTGAGTAATGTTTATATGTGAAGCTTTTTGGAAAAACATATATTCGAATGTGAATAGACATGTTTATTGGACATTTTTATGCAGTACTAAAGGCCAAACGAAATTTTACTCAAATCTATATGAGTAACATAGACATATTTATTGGACTTTTTTAAATAATACAATATTTAAAATTCTACTAACAGAATCAGCCAAGATTCATTGAAGTTGATATTAACTCTCAGGTAACCATATATTCTAAGACAAGATGAATATATTACAGTAAATGAACAGGTAATATGTAGGTCATTGATTGTTTTAACTTCAACTTCATACAGATTTACAGCACAGAAATAAAAGAATTGCAATTATTTTATTTTTATTGCATTTTTATATTAATAACAAAATATTGGAATTAGAAAAATGAAAACAATACAGTCCAATATCGGGAAAGAATTAAGTGACTATAGTTCTTTGGTTAATTTTCTATGTATCTAGAATAGAATATCTAGGAATAAATTTTCGATCAGCGAGTTGGTGGATCCGTTATCCATCACATTTCCCAAAATGCGGTCATAATGAGCGTATTTATTTTCTATACTATTTTAATGAGTCACAACCCTAGCAGAAAATCGTTTGCGTCGCGTTGCAACTCCCTATAAAACTTGTAGTTGTATTATTATTACGCACTAAATTAAAAATAATGTTTCGTAAAACAAATTATTACCATCGATAGAACATTTCAGAAAAAGTAGTTACATTACAACCTTGAGAATTATTCATAAATTAGCAATTGGTCTCGTTTTTAAGTAATAGAAAAATTTGCATTAAAGAAAACATTGTCAAAATGGATATTGTTAAATTGAGAATGGATTTTATCCTTAAGAATCAAAAACTTTTTTCTGATTTAGTAATTCCTCGAAAGATCAAGGAAGAAAGATAGGTAATATTATATAATTATAATATTAGCATCTTCTTATAATATTACTACGAGTAGTACGTTTATGGATTCTATTTCTACTTAAGATTTGCAAATAGTTTTAGTTCTGTCTCAAAAAGGAGACAAGATCTATCCTTTCTTTATCAGTTTAAAAATATTCTGATTACTTTTAAAACACTTAGCTGTTGAGGTGTCTTGGTTACTACATCAGTAAAGCATATATCTAGAACATAAAGCAAAAATTTAGATAAATGGGTGGAAATTAGGACACCCATCGTCCTTTCATTCAGTCCCTCGCCCGTCAACATTGGTGCAACATATTTATTATACTGCAACTATTTATGTGAGAGTATGAAAGAGCTCATTATCTTGTAATGAATCCGAATTCTCAGACCAAAATTCAGTCATCTCCAGTGTCGGTTCTTGGTGATGCCATTAGAGTGTGCAACGTCTCTCTTTTTTCTTTCTTCCTCCCCCTCTCCCTCTCATACACACACATACACACCCATATACAAAGACATACATCACATGCGTACATATATACTTATTAACATAAATAATGACAATTAAACAGAGAGTATCTTATAAAGTCTTATAGCATGTTGAACAGCATCTTTCAGCAGTGAAGATCGCCGGCATTTCTTTTCAGAAAAATCTATTTTGACTTCGCTGGGCAGGGAGCCATCCGAAATATTTACAACTAGAGTTGGATTACCGCGTATCTACTCAGCACGTTCCAGAACCGTTTTTCCAGGGGTGTTAAGACATCTATTGTACACGTTGATTCAAAACATTTTTACTCGTACATTTGAGTTTAATTTAATTGATGCGTTATTTTACGTGGCGAGACTCATGCCATGAGCCCTACTCTTCCGTCTGACCAAGCAAATTTCGCTGTGCTTTAGAGTACTTTCCATACACTTGCTCTACAAATTTTAGGCTAAAAGAACAAA